GGGGGGGTGGTGATGCCACGCTCCGGGAGGGCAGGTGCGGGGGAGGTCAATACCAATGCTCCAGGAGGGCCTGGAGGGCCATTGCCGCAGGGCCTGGCTTGAGGCTAAGCCTTGGGCACCCTGAAGCTTGCCTAGCAAGAGTTCTGGGGATCTCTGGGGCCTCTCCCTTCTAGATGCGTCTCCCTCGGAGCCCACCTAGCCTATCAGGAATCTGCGAGAGCCATGAGGCTCCCAGGAAGCCCCTTGCCTTACCCTGCCCAGCTCCCACTGTAGCTGTGGTTTCCGGAGGGGACGCTGCGGGGGCTTCCTCACCACCAGCCAGAGTCAGGCTGAGGGAGGAGGCTCAGGATCCCAGGATCTGAGGAGGACCCAGGCCTCACAAGCCCCTCGCCCTGCTCCCGCCATGGACTCACCTTCCATGGGAGACTGGCACAAAACCAGGAGGGTCCCTGGGAGCAGGAGGGTCAGGAGCCGGGCCATGCTTGTTGGGAACCAGCGGAGGGAAGAGTGCCGGCTGGCCGGGCAGCTGGCCGGGCGCGTGGGCGTGGGGACGGGCCGTGGCTTCCTCCTCGCGTCCTGCGGGCTGTACGTGCAGGTCATAGACTCATGCCTCTGGGAGTGGGCGCTCTGCTTCCTCTCCCTGTCCCACAGCCAGCCCATGGCCGCAGTCGAGACAGGTAGGAAGCAGTGGTCCTGGTGTCCAGGGGATGGCCAAGCATGGCCCACGTGCTGGGGGACTCTCCGGCTGGGACACTAGAGCACTGGGCCGAGGGGAGGAGACACCCAGTGAAGGCGGACACCAGCCCCCAGTTTCGGAATGTCCAGTAAGAATGGGGCTGCCGGGCCGGCAGGGGGCCTGGTGGTTAAGGCGCTGGACTCCCACGCGGCCGACTAGGTTGGAGTCCTGGACCTGGCGGCTTCCTTTCTTGCTTTCCCTCTCTCTGTTTCTCTGGTGCCCTATAGCAAATTAAAAAAAATAATGATAATAAATTAAATTAAATAAATAATGCTTTTAAAAAATGGGACTGGAGGGGCCAGAAGGTGGCCAGGTGGTTAAGGTGCTGGACTCCCACGTGGCTGACCATGGTTCAAGCTTTGGACCTGATGGCTTGAAAATCACATCAGGGGACCAGCAGGTGGCATAATGGTTCTGTCGCTGGACTCCCAGGTAGTCGACCATGGTTCAAGTCCCGGACCTGGTGGCGTGAACTCATGACGGACACCTACAGAGACATGAATGGTTCCTAGAAGGTACACAGTCTGGTTCTATTCATATCACTGCCAAAGCAGGCAGAACTACAATGTGGGAAGACCATAAAATAAAATAATAGCTAGATTCTTTAAAGACAGGGTATCACCTCCCACTTGGTGAGGAAGAGAATGAAATCGGGAAGGAGCCTCCGTGTGCAGTTTCCTATAGTGGGGCAGTATTCATCTCCTGCTCGGTTTCTGGTTATGCAGCTTGCTATAAGAGAATCGAAGATATCAATGTATACTCTGTACCCCTAGTGTGTGAGTGTGTGCCATATCTCATCAGTAACCCTACATGCACGAGCACACACAGACACACACAGGCCTCTGGGCCGGCGACTTTACTGTGGTTGATCATGTGAGAGAGCAATACTATGTACACAGGCCGCTCAGGGCCAGCTCTCTGAGCAGAGATCACCTCTGTGGTCTGGAGGGACGTTTACAGTAAGCAGGAGCGGTGAGTTCGGCCATCAGACGACTGTGCGGCCCAGGGTGCTGCCAGGCTGCGTGGAGGTCTCTGGCCTCGGCCCTCGCGCGTGGTGAACGCACCGGGGAAGTAGAGGGACCCCTCGGGTCTGTCACTCAAGTCATCCCTGGAGTTCCCAGGACCAGGAGGTGGTGTACTGGCTACGTCTCTGACTCTCACGTGGTCAACCACGGTTTGAGTCCCGAACCCAGTGGCCTGAAACTCACACCAGGCATGTGTGCGTGCGTGCCCAAGATCCTGGGAGGAGAATGGAGGGGAAGGGATTGTGGCGTGGCTATACCCTTGGGGGTGGTTTTTCGCTTTCTGTCTCTCCATCTTTCCTGTGAGCTCATGTGTCCTATAGCAAAAAAATCTCTCCAAAAAAAAGGAAGAGTCCTGGGGCTGCCAGGTGGCACGGTGGTTAAAGGCGCTGGACCTCACATGGCCCACCATGGTTCGAGTCCTGGACTTGGTGGCTTGCTCTCTCTCTCTCTCTCTCTCTCTCTCTCTCTACCTCTCTGGTCAAATGAAAAGAAATAAATGGATAAATAAAGTTAAATAAAGTAATTCTTTTAAAAAAGAAGAAGGAAGAGTCCTGAGGGGCCGGCTCGGTGTGTCGAACACCACATTGAAAGCCCGGGTGCTCGTTTACTCTGTAAGGCAAGAGCACTGCTCGCCCATCACCCCTGAGTCCCAGACCTGCTTCACGGTCACATCGGTGTTCGTACTGTTCCTGCAACTCTCAAGGCATGGGAGGGCACCAAGAGTGGGCGTACTGAGCCCTAGGTCCCCGGGAGAAAGGAACACGTGTGCAGGGACTCCAGAGACTCCCCACGGTGCCTGGACCTCCACTGCCACCCGAATCTTTCTGCCACCCTGCGTGCTGTCAGGAGAGCAGAGCCGTCGGCTCATGTGGGTCTGGTCGCTCAGACCCGTGCTGCTCTTTTGCCTCAGGGAGAAACAAGCTGTTCCCACCTGACCCTCCCTCGAAGCCAGAGAAGAGACTGTTCTTACCCTCTGGGTCGCTCCCGCCTGCAGCTGTGGGGCGCTCTCCGTCCTGGAACTCCTCGTCACGGGCAGGGTCTGCTGAGGCGCTCCCGGCCCTCAAGTCTTGGCGCTCAGCCCCAGCCCCAGGAACGGCTCAGAAAGTCACCATGAGAAAGCGCCTCGGTCATCCGTAATCTCGGGTGTCTCTGTGTTCCCTGCGGAGAGCAGGTCAGAAAGTAACAGTGACTGCTGGGTGGGCAGATTCCACTCACGAAGCATCATTTTACGGGGCTGCATGATGTCAGAGACTCACCGACCGTCGGCCTGATGTAGGCGTCCTCCACCGTACAGGCAGGAAGCCGGCAGAACCAGGCCCCTCTCAGGGTCGAGGCACAGCCAGCGTATCCTCCCCCTGGCTCCTTGGGCCCTCAGGGCTCTGTGCTGGAGAGAGGAGGCCCTTACAGACAGGCAGAACTCGGAGTGACAGAGCGTCACATCTATATCAGGGCTCTGAAATACGTGACATAAGAATAATTTCAGGGCACTGAAGGTAATAAAATGCCTCTCTGAATTAGAGGCATTTGGAAAAAGAGCAGCCTGGAACCCAGTAGGACTGAGTCAGTAAGGTGCCAAGACAGGAGAATGGAACCCAGTAGGACTGAGTCAGTAAGGTGCCAAGACAGGAGAATGAGTCTGGGGAGGCTTTTGGGAAAATCGGTTCAGGTGTACCCAGGCAGGTGCACACGTACCCGGGCAGGTGCAGGCGTACCGGGGCAGGTGCACACGTACCCGGGCAGGTGCAGGCGTACCGGGGCAGGTGCACACGTACCCGGGCAGGTGCAGGCGTACCGGGGCAGGTGCACACGTACCCGGGCAGCTGTACCCGAGCAGGTACACATGTACCCGGGCAGGTGCAGGTGTACCCGGGCAGGTGCACACGTACCTAGGCAGCTGTACCCGGGCAGGTGCAGGTGTACCCGGGCAGGTGCAGGCGTACCCGGTCAGGTGCACGCGTACCTGGGCAGGTGCAGGCGTACCCGGGCAGGTGCACGTGTACCTGGGCAGGTGCAGGCATACCCGGGCAGGTGCAGGCGTACCTGGGCAGGTGCAGGTGTACCCGGGCAGGCGTAACTGGGCAGCTGTGCCCGGGCAGGTGTATCCAGGCAGGTGTACCCCCAGGGGCTCTGTGAGCTGGGCGAGCATGTCGCTACGCTCGGCAGTCGGGGGAGGTGTGATGACAGAGCAGGCCAGGTTGGACGCAGCTCGCCTGGGCAGCAGAAGGAACCTCTATGCTTCTCACAGCCTGCTGTCAGAGGGTAAAATGGGAATTCCTGGGGGAAGCAGGATCCCCAGAGGAGGGAGGAATAAGTTAAAGATGTAAGAGAAGGTGGTAACTTCAGGGCAGTGAGGGGAGGGTCCTGCCAGTTACTATGCAGCACACAGGAGTCAGTGCAGCCAGGCGTGTGTGTGAGCATGTGTGTGCACCTGTGCACATGTGTCTGAACACGCATGTGCACAGCGGGGACAGTGACGACAGTGGGGACACTGATGAGTGAGGACAGTGCTGACACTGGGGGTCTGCCCCCTGCAGAGAAGCCTGTGGCTGCCCGAGGCTAGCGTGGCTCAGCTGCTGCTCCGTGGCACCTGTGGGAGCTCGTTCTCTTTTGCCTCTCTTCTTCCACTCGTGTGCGTCTGTTCCCAGTGGACCGGGCTCGTGGGCGTTGAAGACGAGGCTCCTCTGCTGCCCCGGTTCATGGTGTGTGGCTAAGCACCACGGCCCTGGTGTGGAAAACCCGCAGGGCCGCCCCGACTCACCATGTGTGGCTAAGTACCACGGCCCTGGTGTGGAAAACCCGCAGGGCAGCACCAGAATAAATGAGCCCAGGGCTTTCCCAGCCGGGCCCTTTCCCCACAAGGGGCTAGAAAGAAGTTATGGTGGCTGGTTTCCCTAGGAGCAGGTCAGGGTCGAGGGCGCCCGCTGCCTCCGCCCAGCCCATTCTGGGAAGCCCAGCCTTGCAGGTATAAGCAGGTGTTCGTCACCCCTTCCTGCCTCTCCCTCCGAGATGGACACGGCCCTCCTGCTGGGACTCCTCGTCCTGCTCTGCTGTTTTAGGGGTGAGTCCCCAGGGCTGACGGCCAGGGAAAGGACCCCGGGACAAAGGCCGTCCATGGAACCGCATGGCACAGCAGTCCCTGCCACCTCCCCGCCGAAGCCCTGAACACATGAAGGAGAAACAGCCAGTGGGAGGCCACGGCGGGGGAGAGGGTGTGTGAACAGTGCCATCCACAGGGTCTGTCTTCCCTTCAATAGCACTGCGGCAGGGGTGTGTGTGTGTGTGTGTGTGAACAGTGCCGTCCACGGGGTCTGTCTTCCCTTCAATAGCACTGTGGCAGGGGTGTGTGTGTGGGGGGTGTGAACAGTGCCGTCCACGGGGTCTGTCTTCCCTTCAATAGCACTGCGGCAGGGGGAGGTGTGTGTGTGTGTGTGTGTGTGAACAGTGCCTTCCACGGGGTCTGTCTTCCCTTCAATAGCACTGCGGCAGGGGGAGGTGTGTGTGTGTGTGTGTGTGTGAACAGTGCCTTCCACGGGGTCTGTCTTCCCTTCAATAGCACTGCGGCAGGGGGAGGTGTGTGTGTGTGTGTGTGTGTGAACAGTGCCTTCCACGGGGTCTGTCTTCCCTTCAATAGCACTGCGGCAGGGGGAGGTGTGTGTGTGTGTGTGTGTGTGAACAGTGCCTTCCACGGGGTCTGTCTTCCCTTCAATAGCACTGCGGCAGGGGGAGGTGTGTGTGTGTGTGTGTGTGTGAACAGTGCCTTCCACGGGGTCTGTCTTCCCTTCAATAGCACTGCGGCAGGGGGAGGTGTGTGTGTGTGTGTGTGTGTGAACAGTGCCTTCCACGGGGTCTGTCTTCCCTTCAATAGCACTGCGGCAGGGGGAGGTGTGTGTGTGTGTGTGTGTGTGAACAGTGCCTTCCACGGGGTCTGTCTTCCCTTCAATAGCACTGCGGCAGGGGGAGGTGTGTGTGTGTGTGTGTGTGTGAACAGTGCCTTCCACGGGGTCTGTCTTCCCTTCAATAGCACTGCGGCAGGGGGAGGTGTGTGTGTGTGTGTGTGTGTGAACAGTGCCTTCCACGGGGTCTGTCTTCCCTTCAATAGCACTGCGGCAGGGGGAGGTGTGTGTGTGTGTGTGTGTGTGAACAGTGCCTTCCACGGGGTCTGTCTTCCCTTCAATAGCACTGCGGCAGGGGGAGGTGTGTGTGTGTGTGTGTGTGTGAACAGTGCCTTCCACGGGGTCTGTCTTCCCTTCAATAGCACTGCGGCAGGGGGAGGTGTGTGTGTGTGTGTGTGTGTGAACAGTGCCTTCCACGGGGTCTGTCTTCCCTTCAATAGCACTGCCTGGGGCCTTTCAAGACGGCAGTGACGCAGGTGAGCAGGGTGAGGGGCTGTGGTTGGAGAGCCCGCGGGAAGGGGAGGGGAGGGGACCACAGGGGGAAGGAGGGGAGGGGAGAGGAGAGGAAGGGAGGGCAGCGTGGGTCTGGAGGCTAGAAAGGAGCCCAGACAGACCTGGAGTTTCAACACTTACCCATCTCCTCCAGAGGCCGGGCTGGGTGGGAGCTGACAGCGTGGGCCAGGCCGGGGTGGGAGTGAGGGACACAGAGGGTCAGGAGGGGTGGGTGCTGGCTTTGCAGGCGTTGGTGGGCCACAGCTGGTGAGCAGCACTCGGTGCATTTCATACACTTGTGCCCACTGGCAGATTAGGGTGCAGTGACAAGAGTGCCACCTGGAGCCAGTTCCAAACCCACAGATGATGCAGGAGAGAAGTGCACAGTCTGCCCGGGGCTGTGCGTGCCCCGAGCGACCCCACAGCGCTGCAGTGAAAGCAAGGGGAGAAGGGTACAGAGGCCCCGGAGGTGTGAGGGTGGGACGGGCACATGGCCCAAGCAGCTCTAGGTAAGATGCAGGACAGATGCTGCAGAGCAGATGGCCAGGCCCCAGACAGGGTCTGTCCCACCAGCCCGCAGGCTCACTGAGTTCTCATCGCCAGCACAGGCAGCAGAATCTCCGCGGACGAGGACGACTACCCAAGTGAGTGCGCAGCCTGCCCCATGCCTGGCACTGCAGTGGGCGCCCCTCTTAGACCTCCCAGGGTGGAAAAGTCCGGCACTCCTGTTTGAAAGGGGGCAGGTGGTTGTGCTAACGGAATTCTGGCGCCGGCTCGGCTCACGGCTCTCAGCCAAGCGGCCTCCCCACCAGGCGCGCAGCTGGTCCAGTGTCGCATGTGCCACCTACAGTTCCCCGGGGAGAAGTGCTCCCGGGGCAGAGGGCTGTGTGTGGCGACCATGGAGGAGGCTTGCATCACTGGGAAGATCTTCAAGAGTGAGTGCGGGCTGGGAGGAGAGGAGGGAGCAGAGGGCGTGCCCCCACCCCCACCCCGCCAGCCGCCAGCCAGGGAGCCTGCTCACTGCGAGCCTCCTGGGGACCTGGCAGCTTGGCCCCGCCCCGGCCCTGCTGAGCACAGTGGAGGGGTCACTGAGGGAGAGTGGCGCTCAGGAGACGAGGTCGAGGCTGCAGGGAGAGGTCGTGTGAGGTGAGACGTGGGCCCAGTAGAAGGCAAGGAGAGGCCCCCTCTTTGTGCCTGGACACCCAACGCATGGTCTCCACGGGGAAATATGGGTCCAGAGTCAGCGGACACCAGCTAGCGGGGGTGCCCTGGCGGGTGACTGGACACGCTCACTCAGCGTTAGGGTTCCGCAGAAACGCCCTTCGGGCGGATTGCAGACCGCGTGTCCTCTTCACTCCCACGCACGTAAAACTGCCGTGGATGCTGCTGTCCTCCCGGGAAACCCCCGCTCCGGCGGCACCTTCCCTCTTCACGTCTCAGCCGGAGTCTCGAACTCGGCCGTGTGCTTTTGCGTGGCAGCTACAGAGCCCTGGGCCACGGCCATGTCTGCCCTCCCCCTCCCACAGAGGACGGGGGTCTCTGGCTGACCTTCAGGGGCTGCCTGAAGAACTGCGCCAACGTGTCAGGCATTCGCTGGAGCATCTACTCAGTGACCCTCTGGTGCTGCCGGGGCTACGACCTCTGTAACGAGGACCTCTAGACCTGCCGCGGCACTCTGGTGGCAGCGTTCCTGCCCCACGGTGCCTCCTGGGGGACACTCAGAGGGACTGACACGCACGGCTCTGCCTTCGCACGGCACAGGGGACGCCTCTGCGCTCCAGGGCTGTCCTGCCCTACAAAACAAACCGAAAACAAGCCCAGAGAACCCTGTGCGCAAGAGCAATAAAGCCCGCAGCACTTACAAAGCACACTCCCGCTGTCCCTCTGCGCTGCTTAGGAGAGGCGGGAATTCCGTCCTCTGTCCTGGGCTGCCCCCTTCCCTCCACGGGAGACTGCCTCTGTGTCGCCTCGTGCCATTCTCCCCGCCTGCTCCAGGGAGAGCGTGAGGGTGCGGGACGACGTGATGAGGGGCATTGTCTGAGTCTTCGTGCGTTTCCTCTGAGCCGAGCCCGGGCGAGGGGCGGCCAGGACGGCGGACTCGCCCAGACCACGAGGGGGGACACAGTGATGCTCTCTTGGAGTCGGGGTTGGAGAAGGAAAGGGGGACGCTGGTTGCTGAGATGGTGCCACCCCTGCTCCCCTGCAAACGCACGAGGAGGCACAGCCTGAGGCGCTGCGGGGACTTCCCAGGAGGTGGGCCACTCCCCACCCACCCGAGGCAGGGCAGGAAGGAGCCGAGGACCGCCACCGGGTGCTTCCACAAGCCACCACCGTGGACAGGTGCTCCACGAGCGGACACCTGTGTGCCCACTGCGTGCCGTTCTGCATCCTGGGGAAACAGGGCTGGAGCCTTCGCGGTCAGAGGGGGCAGGCTGGCCCCTAACGCCCCTACCGGGCAGGGTGGAGCCCTCGGAGCCGTATAATGAAGTACACCTTCCTTCCCGAAGCCAAGGCTGTTTCTGGGTTCAGCTCCCCCTCCTTAATTTCTTTTTGTTTTTAAGAGGGATTTTTGCTGTAGGGCAAGCGCCCTCACTGGAGAGACAGAGGGTGAGAAATCATCCTGCCCCCGAGGGTGGGGAAGGCATGCCACAGCCCCTTCTCCTCTATCTTCCTCTCAGGATTTTGGGCGTGCACACGCGAGCACACGCTTGCACACGCTTGCACACACTCGCACACACTTGCACACAGCGTGTTTCAAGCCTCCGGGACTCCGAGGGAGCCTAGCGACGTGACTCTTGCGCCATCTGCTGGTCCTTCCTAATGTCTCTAACAAGCGGTTATCCAACAGTGTCCAGGCGCCGCTCGGCAGAGGGCACAGTGCTCTCCTGGGGCTCAGTCTAGTGGGGCGACAGCCAACACGAGTGCAGGACACAACGTAGGGTGCAGCTCCCAACGCCACGCCCCTGCTCTCCCCTCCCCACAGGCCTGCTCGTCCCGCCCACTCAGAGCAGCAGCCGGTGTGTTCTCTGGGGAAAGTGGCACTCATGGTGTCACACCTAGGGGACTTGATCCTTTTTCTGGAAATAGGAGACAGTGAGCTTCTCGTAGAGTGGAAAGGCTGAAGAGATGTGGGTTTCGAGAACGAGGGAAGCAGCTGGCCACCCCGCTCGGGTCACTGGGTCTGGGAAGCACCCCGTGGTGGAGTCTGTCTCCTGGATCATCCACGTAGCAGACACGTGCAAGTGCCGTACGCAGCGGCGTGTGGGGCTGCGTGGCCCTCGAGCCCGGGGAACCGGAACACGGTCTCAGGAGCGGTCTGCCTCACGGCCGGGTCTGAGCACCAGGGGTCCCCCGAACAGAACTCCGGTCGCCACTGCCAGGGCAAGGAACCACTGAGAGGAGCCGGCAGAGCCCAGGAAGATCGGCCCCTTCCTCCTCCTCCAGCCGCAGAACCCCTTCCTGCTATGGCAGAACGTCCTAGGGATGGGGGCAGCAGGTTGCCTGGTGGCTAGTGTGCTGGGCTCCCACAGGACCAATCTTGGTTCGAGTCCTGGACCTGGCGGCTTGAAAGCCACAGTGGAGAACGGAGAGAAGGGATTCGGCGTGGCCATTCCCCTGAGAGGGGATGTCTCACTTTCCCTGTCTGTCTCTGTCTCTCTCTGGCGAGCGCACAGCCCTAAGGCAAAAACCTGAAAATAACAGCGGGGTCCAGCCTCACAAAGCGGAGCACGGACGTGTGCACCAGCAGCTGCGGGGTGGCGACGTGGCCACGCTGGCCTGTGGCCAACCGCCCTCACAGCCCCCCTAGCCATGGGACCAGACGGCACCGCACACGGCGAGTACGGCGCGGTCTCCTCCGCACACGAGGCCCTCCCCCCGCACGAGGAGACAGAACTGCAAGGCCATCGGGCTCCGAGCAGTGGCCCAGTCATCCCCGTGGGCGAGAAGCCCCGGGTCCCCTCAGTCCCACCTGCCCACAACCACTGAGAGCACATACGTGAACACCGAGCGAGGGAGGCCAGAGACAGCGTGACGAGGTCACAGACAAGCACGGCACCCCGGGATGGCAGCGTGGCCAGCCCCTGGTCTCCTCCCTCTGCTCGCTCTACAGCCGATCCTCTCACCTAGACCCTCTGGGGCAGGGCTACTCCCCGGGCGAAGGCAACCTTCCAAGCCGGGGCTGATCTGGCCGTGAGCCCCAGGCCTTCCGGCCGTTCTCGCAGCTGTGCAGGGAGCGCTTGCACCTCAGCGCGTCCTGCCTCCCTGGGCCGGAGTGACCTGGTCTCTGAGTGTTTCCCAACCCCGGGGACCCTCATGCCGGTCGGTCGTTGTGGAGCCCAGGGGCCCAGCGCACAGGCAGCCTTGCCACCAAGTGAGCAGAGCGCTGGCGACGCCCCGCCCCCTTGGAAAGGGCAGGTCACAGTCCCAGGGCTGGCAAGGCCCGCCCTCCCCACCTGCGGGCCTGCCCTGCGCTCTGGCTCTGGCCACGGGAGAGCAGCGGGGCTCCAGCAGCTGCGGAGCCCACTGCCGGGAGAGCCTAGGAGAGCTGGCTGCGTGCTCGCCTCCACCGTTTGGCCCCCTGCCCCCGGTAGCCACCCCAGCACAGGGTGTGGAGGAGGGCCGATGCACACGCCTGGCCACGAGGCGAGCCCGCTCAGGAGCAGCAGTGAGGCACGTGTCGCAGGGAGTGAGGCAGCCGGCCCAACACGACGAACCCTCGGGAAGACGAGATTACCCAGCGCCACAAGTCACCAGGGATGGAGGGCCAGGTGCCAGCCGCGCTGTGAGCGTCTGTCCGGGATGACTGCGGGTCTGCCCAGGGCAGGGACCAGCCTGTGGCCGCTGGAGGGCTGTTGCCATGGTTGTCTTTCAGGGCCATGCCTGACCAGGGTAGTGGACTGCAGCCCACCTCGCTGTTGCCGCAAGGTCTGCAAGCATCGGCTTCTCCTTCTCACACCCGTTTCTTACACAAAACGAAGCATGAGAGTCAGGGTGTGCAGCGGAGGGGAGGAGGCAGGCGCAGCCGCCTGCCACGGCCAGCTGTCGGCTCTCGGCCATCCCGTGGGGTGGGTGGCGGCTGCGCCCACCGCCCTGCTGGCCGAGGCTGCTTCAGGATGGGCAGCTCGGCCTCACAGTGCGTGACCCACAGTCAGGAAACCGAGTCACAGACACATCGCATTCGCTGCCGGCGTCGAGTGAGCAGCAGGTGCAGGTTCAGCCCCGAGTCGCAGTCTGTACCGAGTCTGCCCTCTTAGCGAATCGGCTACGAGACACTGGGACCACACCGGTGAACGTGGGGCGGTGCGGGCCTTAGCAAAAAGGGTCAAGCCAACGGAGTCCAGGAAAGACCTTCCCAAGGGGGTTGCTGGATTCAGACGGCCACCCATGGGGAGGGTAAGACCTCCTTCACTCCAACACGGAGCTGGGCGCGGGCAGGAAACAAGGGCTAGTACTGCCTCTCTGGCTCTGCCCCCCCAGCCCATCCGCAGGCCGAGCTCTGCTGCTGAGGTGCCGGGAGCCCGGTACCTACAGGGGATGGGGTGCCGGGAGCTGGTACCTACAGGGGGTGGGGTGCCGGGAGCCTGGTACCTACAGGAGTGAGGTGCTGAGACTCTAGTACCTACAGGGGCTGGCAGGGGCCTCACCACGCACTCTGTGGTCGGCAGTGCAGGCCACTGCCTGCCCGCTATCCCTGGTCCCAATGAGAAGAAGCCAGCCAGCCACATGGAGTGAGCTCTGTCTTTACCCGTCACCTAGTTTAATCACACGCCAAGGCTCCCTGGCCTGCCGGGCAGCCGTGACTCAAGCCCGCCGCCCACAGCTGCCTCTCAGATCCCGCTTCTCACACGTCAAAATGCCGCAGCCACCTCCCGGTTGCCTCATCCCTGGCCCGAGAGTCCCCCAAGAAATCTGTAAGAGAGAGTGAGCTCACGGAGCCACAGGCTGGGTGCTGGGTGTAGCCCTCCCCGAGAGGCAGGAGGATCGCGCTGAGAGGACCCCGGCCCGGGAGATGGGTTTGGAGAGGCCAGAGAGCGGACAGAGGCCAAGTCTGCCCTGGGTGACTCGGGCCGTCTGCATCGTCACAGGAGACCACAGACGGCCACGCTGGGCTCAGACAGCAGTGGCGTGGGAAGGTCAAAGCCCCCAGCTGGGGAAGGTCAAAGCCCCCAGCTGTGCCGACGGACACGCAGAGTCCAGGAGGCCCCGCGGCCCGGCCCTCTCGTTCCCAGCTCCGCGGAGGGGCAGAGCCCGGGGCGGGGGGCCTGGCCCGGTGCCCCTAGAGCCCTTCGGGGAGGTTGCAGTAGTCACTGCTGATGCAGCAGGTGAGCTCCGTCCTCCTGTCGAAGCCCGAGAAGTTGATGTCCTTGCAGTTGGTCATGCACGACAGCCGGGAGTAGTGGTACTTGCTCCGCCCTGGGGACAGGCGGCATGTCCGGGAGCTGCCTGTCTCCACCCCGCGCCCCCAGTCCTCGCACCACACGAGCCTGCGTGGCTGAGCCAGGGACTTTGTTCCCTAACGCTCCGTCACCCGGTGTCATCCTGCAGCGTGACTGCCATCCGCGCCACCGCCCCGCTCCCTCCGGCAGAGGAGCCCTCCCGGGCAGTGGCTGGCTGCATACCTTTCTTGGTGAGCACATAGAAGTTCTCCACCGCGCAGGCCTGCCGGTGCCACAGCGTGCAGGAGCTCATGTCCCCGTAGCACAGCCCCAGGTGGTACTTTGGGCACTCGTAGCACAGCGTCCCCGCCCCTGTGTGGACGCCTTGCTCAGGGTGGGGGAGGGGCTGGCTCTCCGGGTGGCTCCTACCCACGTGGGGCTGTGGGCCTCGATGACCAAGCTCCTCGGAGCCAGGGGACTGGGTCCGCTGATTGTAAACGGGGCGGGGAAGGAGATCTAGTGCTAGCTTACTCCTCCAAGAAACGGGCCGCACGGGTCTGGGTGGGCCGCTCGCCCTGTCAGCACGGCGGGCAGGTTTACGCTGAGCTCGTCACCATGGCCTCTCACCAAGGGCTCTCCACCAGCCATGGCTGAGCCTCGAGCCAGAGCTCCCCATGCAAAGATCTCACAGGCTGACTGCCCCTCCCAGTGGCGCTCCGTCCCAGCAGCCCGGCCGCCCGCACCACCACGCACCACCGTGTGGACAGAGCAGCAGAGCTGTGCCCAGCAGGGTCAGAGTGAGCATCTTGGAGCCGCAGTCCTGTGTGGCCTGTGGACGGCACTGGCTGTTCCTGGCTCTGTCCTGGGGCTGCTCACCCAAATCACAAACAGGACCTCAGCGCTGCGGGGCCCAGCGCCACTCGGGTCCTGCGCAGGGTGCCCGAGAGGGCTCACACTCTGGTTCTCGACAGAGCCTATAGGAGCGGAGGTCGTGACCCCCCTGCTCACAGAGCTGTCCCCCCAGTGATGAGGTCTCAGCAGACCTCAGTACCGCCCTTCAGAGCTCCGGTCCCCCCAGGGCACCCCGCTCTCCTGTCTGTCTGCCAGCTTTTGCCTCTGTCAGTTTCGCTAGAGGGAAAGTGCGCTTGCTCAGGGGAGGAGAGAGAAAGCACCCCGGGGATGGCCACACCACGGTCCCCTCCCCTTCCTCTCCTTGGGGTTTTGGGCACACATGCAAACTGCCGGGCCGAGACTCAAACCGCACAGCCTGACCTGTGGGTCCCAGTGCCAAGCCCACGGTGCCACCTGCTGGCCCCTCGCTCACCCCTCACTCAGGCTTCCCTCTCCAGCCCGCAGCCGTGTCCCTAACCTGGCCGTGGTCGTCTGCTGAGGTCAGGCCGCTGTGGCCTCCCTGGTCCCACTGCTGCTCTTTACCATCACGTCTGCATAAGGCCAGAGGCCCTCACACGGGGCCACGGGGCCCACCTTCTCGGGCCCTCCACCGCATCCTGTCTGAGAGACGCCCAGCTCTGTGCGCTGCCTGGGGGCTTCCCCGCCCCGCAAGGCCACCTCCCTGCTCTCCTTCCCGCCCGCGCCCTGCTCATGCAGCTCTCGGCCCACGCGTCCCCATCAGAAGCAGCTTCCTGACCCGTCTCCTGCAGACGGCGACCTCTGCTCCCCACCTTCCCCGCTCTGGGCGTCGCGGCTCCAGCACTGTGCTGTGCCCCTCGTTTCATTTAGCAGGACGCACCGGCACTGGGGAGGACTCAGGGACCACCCACAGGCCCCGTGGGCCGTGTTCGCGGCCCTCCGGCTCGTTCTCCACAGGGCAGAGCGACCGGGCTGGCACACATGTGAAGGGGCCTCTTCATGTGCCCGGAGGCCCAGACAGCGGTTCGAGTGAGCAGGATGGGTACAGACCTCCCCTGTGTTTGTGGAGTGTCCCATTATAGGGCTCATGTGCTTGCCGGAGAGGTGCAGAGAATGGAGGAGAGTGAGAATCACCCGGCATCCCTTCCCCTGCCCCTGTCAGGATCCGGGCCTGCACGCGTGTTGGCATCGTTTTCAAGCTGCTGGGCCTGGTGCTCAAACCGGCTACGGATTGTGTGGGATCCAGAGCCTCATCCTCCACGCCGCCTGCTGGCCCCAAACTGTATAGATAGTCAAAGAAAACAGGTGACATGTCTCAGGGCCCCAGGCCTCTGCCTGCCTGGACGGCCCAAAGACAGTGGAGCGCGGAAGGGCACATGGCATGGGGTCTCCTGGCTGTCCTATCCGAGAGTCGTAGGGAGGATGGGTGCTAGCTCCGTTAAGAGAAGGAGGGTGGGCACTGTGTGGGCAGAGCAGTGGACGCCGAGGCTGGCCCACGGGGAGGGCGCGGTGCGCACGGGGCCGTCCTGGCCACTCACAGCGCAGGGCCAGGCTGGCTGGCTGGTGAGCGAGAGCCTGCTGGAGCCTCTCTCTCTGTCTCTCTCATAGAATAGATAAACTTCTAAAAAATGGTTACATTCATTAAAAAAAAAAAAGAAGACAATAAAAAAAACCAACTTCTTCATGAGGGAAAAATTAGTCAGTAATCCATAAACAAAGTCCACACAACAAATAAACAACCAGCAAAGACAGACAATGGGATTCCCAGCACAGGCGGTGGGCTGGTCTCCCTGGCACGTAAAGATGTACGAAGTCAGAGTCGAGACTCCCAGCTGAGCAGGCGGGCACAGATGGCAGCGCGAGTTCTCAGAGCGGGGCACCCGGAGATCCCAGAGCCGCCTCCTGTGCGGCGTGTGGTTGGCGCTGAGCTCAGGTCCCTGGCCCCGTGCCCGGTGCAGGTCGGCACTGTCAGAGCGCGCTGCGCCACCCTGCCGGCAAGGTTGGAGCCAGACGGCGGCGGTGTGGGTTGCCGTGTCAGCGAGGAGAGTCAGCCCCCGCCTCGGGATCGGAAAGACACGGCCGCAGCAGCCCAGCGAGCACTGCCTGCCCTCGCACCTGCTCCCGGGCGTTTTCAAGGAATAAGTAGACCGGCGGACACGTCACGCGTCCCCGTTCAAAGGCAGGACTCGGAAGTTCATGTCACTTCATGGGCCGGCCGCACCTCCTTGGTTGTCCACGGGGGACCCTGGCTGCAGGGACACAGGGTCAGAACAGCAGTAGGTGGTGTTCCCCGCACTAGCGTGTGGGGGTGGCCCACGCACGCAGATTATGACGTGGCGATGGCGCAGAGGGACTAGCCCGGAGTGGCATGGGGACAGCTGGTCGCCGACCGCCACCCACTCAGCCCAGCAGGGCAGCCTGGCTCCCCCATGGCCACTGGCCGTTTCTCTTCAGCCCTGGAGGCCTGCCGTGCCCGCCCTCGCCCCCGTCGGCCACCTTCGACTCCACTGCGGCCATCCTGCCCATCTGTGTCCTGTTTTCTCGGAGACCCTTCAGGGGCATCTGTGGGAACAGCCATTCAGACACGCTGGTGGGAAGTGACTTCTGAACACACCCTCTCGCTCAGCGGCCATCCTCTGCGAGTTGGAGGTGGGCGGCCCCACTCTCGGGCCTGCGTCGCCGGCCTCTGCTGCACAAGCTGCACCGTCTTCGGCTCTGGGGCAAGACAAGTTCGTTTTGACCACCCAAGTCAACACCTTCAGGTGCGCAATGTTCTGGTTCGATTCTTTCAAAATCACTTCAGAATTTTTATTATGATTATTACTTTTTAGTATTTTTTTCTCTTTTTTTTTCTTTTCCTATCCCCAAGAGCTTCTATTTAATCTGTATATTGAATCTTTTTCTGAGAGATCTTTGCTATAGGGCATGAGGCAGGAAGTGGGAAATCGCTCTCGTGGGGGGCAGGGATGTCCTTTTCCAGTCTCTTCTCGGGATTTTGGGCACATGCACCCTGTGTGAGTCTCAAGCCACCAGATCTGGGACTCGAACTGCAATCGACAGTGTGGGAATCCAGCACCTTAACCACTATGCCGCCTGCTGGCCCCTTACGAATCTTTTTTCAGAGCCAGAGAGCACATGAGCTTGCAGGGGTGGGGAGAGAGAGCGGTGTCCACACGGCAGGGCCACACTGCAAACCCTCTTCTCTGCCTCTCCATGCTGTCGGGGTTCTGTCTGCTGTGGTTTTTCAAGCTGCCAGGACCAGGATTTGAACTACAGTTGGTCACATGGGATCTGGTTCCCTTAACCACTAGGCCTCCAAGCTGGGACCCAGAAGTGATTTTTTTTAAAAAAAATAATTATTTCTTCAATTTTATTTATTATTACAATTTTAGAATTTGCTACAGGGCACGTGTACTTCACTGGAGGGGGGTGGGGGTCAGGAAGTGAGGAAGCATGCACCAGGTCCAGGACTCGAACCGCCATCAGCCATGTGGGAGTCCGGCTCCCTGGCCACCACGCCACCTGCTGGTCCCAGATGTGATATGTTTTAATGTATTGTGCTACAATTAAAGCACACGTGTGACTCGTGGATGGTTTCTGGCGTGTCTGCCCCAGGAACCACGTGTGGACTGGTGCTGGCAGCACGGGACAGTTTTCTGGGGCCTTGCCCGCGCTGGCCCTCCACTGAGCTTCTGTGAAGATGTAGATGCCTGAGCCATGAACGAGGCTGGCCACGCTCAACACACCGACTTGCTGGAGGTCAAGTAGTGGGTTTCCCAGAGGGACTGCTCAACCCGGGGAGCAGGCAGCTCAGTGCAAGAGCTCCAGGCTGAGTGGAGGCCCGGCCCGGCCACACTCTGCCGGTCCCTCTCCCCCGCTCACTCTGCCATTTCTCCCGCCTGGAGTCAGGCCGAGGAGCCTGCCCGCCTCGTGTGTGCCTCTCCTCTCGAGTGACCCCGTGGCCAGCACACAGGGGCCCCTACGAATGGACCCCGCAGAGGCCCAGGCAGGGCAGGGCGTGGGCTCTGGAGTTAGGGAGGAGACGGGATGCCGGCATTTGGCCACCATGGGGCCCTGCAGGGGTCTGACCACGCCAGGTGAGGTAGGGATGAGAACATTAATACATTATTGTTGATAATAATAAATACGTAAGAGCAACGGCTGTGCTAGAAGCTGTCCACCCTGGACAGCCGGCCCGCACATGGCCCAGTGCCCGCTCCTCTGCCCTCAGCTGTGGGCCGACAGCCAAGGGCTTACGTGGGGAGGGCCGGTGTGGCCGAGGGCTCCGAGGCGTGAACACTCTGTGCCTCACCAAAGGAGAGGCTTCCTCCAGCAGCCCGGAGCCCGCACTCACGCTGCGACTCCCCGAGCAGGGCTTCCCAGGCAGGATGGACAGGCCCTTCTTGTGGCTCTTCTTCTCCTGCCTCCTCGTGGGTGAGTCCCCAGAGTGGAGCCAGGGAGGCCACAGCGCAGGGGCCCTGCCCATAGACAGGAGCAGCCCCAGGTCCCTCCGCCTTCCCTGCATCCTCCACTGTCCTCGGCAGCCTGCCGTCCCCCGGCACCTCTGCCACTGCCCCGCATCCTGCCCCCCAGTCCTGTCACGTGCGTGACCCAGACCCTCGCAAGGCCCTCGGACACCCTTCCCGCCCAGAAGTGCGCTCCCGTCTGCTGATGTCGCCGCCGCTCAGGAGTGGGTCACGGCGGTTTGTTTTAGAGCAGCTGGCCCCAGTTGGGACTCGGGGAGGAAGCAGGAGCATCGACCCCACCCAGACGGTGCTAGAGGGCGTGTGCTCTCACGAGAGAGGCAGAGAAGGGAAAGGGGGCGCGCCCGGGGATGGCCACGCCGCAGTCCCTTCTCTTCCGTCTGCAAACCCTTTTCCTCCACGTCTCTCAGGGCCTCGGCACACACGCACCGGCGTGCTTTTCAGGCTGTGGGGTCTGAGACTCAAACTGCACCGTCAGCCACGTGGGATCCAGTGGCCTTAACCACCACTCTGCGGTCAGCCCCGAGATGACGGTTACTATTTTAACAAGCCTGCGTTTTCCATGTGCCACCGCACAGCTCATTGTAAAGGCAGCAGGGATGCGATGCGGCTCAGGAGGCCTTTATGTAAACTTAGTTGAAGCTGCGGCCAGCCGTTGGCGTAACGGCTCTGTTGCTGGACTCCCACGTAGTTGACTGCGGTTCACATCCCGGACCCGGTGGCTTAAAACTCACGCCAGGCGTGAGTGCGTGTGTGCCCAAGATACCGAGAGGAGAACGGAGGAGAAGGGATTGCGGCATGGCTGTCCCCCGCCCGGGGGGTGATTTCTCACTTTCTGTCTCTCTGTCTCTGTCTTTCTGGCAAGCGCACGCGCCCTATAGCAAAAACCTCTAAAAATAAAAAAGAAAGAAAAAACTTGGTTGAAGCTCAAAATAAGAGAAAATCTCACCCACCCTACCCAAGGGCAATGCCACACCCTAAAGCCACGAGTGGCCGGAGCCCCTGGCACAGTACCGCTGGCTGGGTCGCGTACCTCCACACTCCCCGGCCATCGCCCTCGGGCCCGCGGCCCCGTGGCACCCAGGCAGCATTGGTAGCACTCTGCCTTTTTAAATTTTTTTAAAGAGGATTGTTGCCTTAAGGCGTGTGCCTCTCCAAAGAGAGAGAGACAGGGACAGTGAGAGGGAAAGCGAGAGATCACCCCTGGGGGTGGGGGAAGGCCATTCTGCAACCCCTTCTCTTCCAGTCTCCTCCCAGGATGTTGGGCACGGATGCACATGTACCTAACATGATTTTCAAACCACTGGGTCTAGGACTCAAACCACGGTCAGCACGTGGGAGTCTAGCAACGTAACCACCGTGCTCCCTGCTGGCCCCGACAGCACCCTTTCTAAACTAGAGACCACCTGGCCGTGCGCCCACAGCTGTCAGGTTAAAAGGACTGGGGCGGGGGTGGAATCCTGTTTGCAGAACGACGCCTTCTTTCCCTTACCCAGGGGTGAGGCTTGGCCCCCTGCTCTGCCCGCTGCCCTGGCCAGCCCAGGCCTGGACCGCGCTCCACCCTGCCGCCGCGCTCTCTCGAGCAGGGGTGAGGCTTGGCCCCCTGCTCTGCCCGCTGCTCTGGCCAGGCCTGGGCCGCGCTCTACCCTGCCACGCTCTCTCCAGCAGGGGCAGCGCTCAAGTGCATCACATGTCACCTGCGCTCGCAGACGGACCGCTGCAGGAGGGGCTTTGGCGTCTGTCTGGCTCAGAGGCAAGAGACGTGCATGACCCTGAAGGCCATTCAGGGTGAGCCGGCGGGGCAGCGGGGCAGCGGGGCAGCGGGGCAGTGGGGCAGCGCGGCTGTGAGGTCTCCAGTCCCGGAGGGCTTTGAACCTCCCATCTCAGACAGGCCAGCCCAGGCAAGAGCCAAAGTGAGAATGGCTCTGAGCCTGGGTTGGGCCGGGCTCCGCCAGGAGGGCACCACGGCAGGGCCCTGAGCTGGGACAGGAGCGGGTGGGGAACCGGGATAGCGGGCGGTCCCTGCGCCCGGTCGGACTGACCAAGCGTTCTGATGCAGTGGGTGGCAAGGCAGGGAGGGCTAAGTAGAAATGGGAGTGAAGGCCCGAAGGCCCGCTGATCCAGCACGGACCAGCACGAGGGCCGGGAGGGGTCTCAGACACCCCCGGCTGGTCAGCGGCCTCAGGCATTCCCGCTGTGCACTCAGGAGTGTGGGCCGGCTCGCCTTCTGTGCCCTGCTCCCTGGGGCAGGTGGCCGCGGGCACGGACAGCCCATGCTCTGTGTCCTCCCATCCCAGGTGGTGAGCTCCAGGTCTCGTACATGGTGTGCCAACGGTTCTGCAGAGACCTGACGCTCAGCTACAACGACCGGACCTACGTGCACACCTGCTGCCGCTCCAACTACTGCAACTTCAAAATCTGAGCCACCCGCCCTGGGGCACTCCTCACTCCTCGCCTCTCCTGCCAAGCCCTGCCCTGTCCCGTCTGTCCTTGAGTCTCTGGTCCTTCCCGGTGCTTCCTTGGCCAGGGGACAATGATCTTAAATGACAGATCTCTCCTTTACAGAGGCTGGCGTTTCCATACCCCAGGAAGCCCGCCCCAAGAGCCCTGCATAGTAAAAACTGATGCAGAACTGTCCTAGAACCAGCCGTAGAGAACTGGGGTGGACGAGAAAGACTTTGGCTAAAAATTCAGAAATATTTTTGTCTGAAATTCCCATGTGTCACTTCAAGGATTAGATAGACAGGAAGCCCCTCATTTGGGAGCAGCATGCAGAGCCCACTCGGGGTTCTGCAGCTCTTGGCACTCATGGGCACATGCCACACGCACTGGCTGGGAGAGCAGGTACACTGGCAGCTCACTGCTCCCCTGCTCCCCGCCAGGAGGGCACCACGGCAGGGCAAGTTCCCTCCTGCTGTCCCTCCTCCTCCCACGCCCACCCTTCCCCTCCGTCCGCCTCCTCCGGCTGTGCCGACTCTCCGTCCAGAAACAGGACATCTGCAAAGCCCCAGGGCACCCCGAGGCCCTCTGAGGCACATAACCTGGGGTGGGCTGCCTTGCTGGTGGGGGCGGGGTCTGCCCTGGCCGCTCTCTGGAGCCTCGGGGCCCAGCTCGCAGGCCTGTGCTCGCTGGCCCCTGTGAGTAATAAAACCCTCGCAGAGCCCTGTGTGTGCTACCTCGCTGGACTGACAGAGGGGTGCCAGTGCCTGGGGGCCTGCCTAGTGGCCAGGCAGCAGTGGGCAGGAGGTCTGGCCTCTTCCTGGTGGCTGGCATGGCGACAGTCTTGCTTCCCCAGGACCAGTGAGCAGCAAGGCTGTCTTGGGAAGATGCTGCCCTAGGTCGGCCCTGTAGCCATTTGTCAAGGCGAGCCTGCTTGTCTCACACAGGCTCATACCGCCCTCTTCCCTGGCACCCGGCTGTGGCCCCGCGGGGAGCCGCCCTCCCTCCACGCTGAGCAGCTGCTACTGTGGGTCCCTCCCCAGGCAAGGCTGCCTTGGGCTCAGAACGCTCGGACCTGAACCTAGAGTGCCCGTGCTGGGCCTCCAGCCCCATCCGTGTCCTTCCCACTGTGCCGTTCGAGTGTGCAGGACAGAGACACTCCCATGGGGCCATGCAAGCTGGGGGAGCAGGGCAGCACTGCAGCCTGGGTGACAGGGTCAGGGTCTCACAGACACCCCAGGTAAGCACAACAGCATCAGGTCCCAGCCTGGGTCTGCAGTGCCACTGGGCTCCGCCACACACGCGAGCCCAGCTTCAAACCACGCTGCAGTGCCTTCCGTGGGCCTCCAACCCTGCTCCCTCACTCCATCGCTGTCCCTGCCAGGATCTCTGGTCCCTAGGACTTTCTGTGTCACCGCAGCTTTGACTTCCGTGGGAGGCACTAACCACACACCACGAGAACTGTGTCTCTGCTAGGACTCTCTGGCCGTGTCTCCACTCTGCACAGACTTGGGAGCCAGCCCTGCGTGGGAGGACCCTCCTTACTATTTCTCAAGGTCAAAGTACAGAATTCGCCCCACTTCAGGCAACTGGGGGACCCCGTTATTCTTATATCGTATTTTAGAATTACTTCGCTGATTTAACCATTTTACTCTATTTCTATGAGCACGGTGGGGCAGAGGCTGAGAACCTGTCATAACAGGGATCGGGAGACGCTATCGCTCCGTCACAGAAGTGCACAGGGCCTGCAGGTTCTAGTCCACTGGGAGGAACATGTGATAGAAAGTGTCACTCTACCGTGAGCGAGAAGTAACTCGGGGACCCAGTTCCGTCACTTCACCGCGTATATCTTTGTTCAGAGAGCCCACGTGAAGGTCTGAAGCCCTCCTGTCGCCCCTGTCACAGGGCTCTGCGGGGGGACTCGCGCTCAGCTCTCACCTGGCGAACCGAGTGCGGGGCAAGACAGAGACGCTGTGAGGGCCGAATACCCTTGAGTGCCAAGAGACGGGATAATTGGCCGACCTCCAGCCGAGGGCAGAGGTGGCCTTGGTCCGGCAGTGGGAGCTTGGCGCAGTGGGACACACTGCCCGATCCGTGTGTTCACGAGTAGCTCGGCAGGACCGGGGCCCGGAATGAAGGTTGCGGTCCCAGGACACACGCCCAACCCCCGTTTCTGTCCAGGCCGGGTGGCGTGGGCTCTCCCCTTGCACAGGGCTGGCCCAAGCCCCGCGCGACAGCGCTTCCTACCTGGCCTCCAGCTCCCAGGGTCTCCCGACACCTGCAACTTATTGCTACTTCTCCAACCTGGCCCCTCTTGGTCTTCCCCAGACGCCCACCAGAAAACACCCTGCTCCTTCCCGGGATCCCCGAGAGACTTTCACCACCGTAGGCGTCACGACCAGGGCAGGTGAAGACCGACAGGAGGTGCCCGACAGGGTGGCCCCGGGGGATCAGGCCCGAGGGCAGAGCTGGGGTTTTGGGACCTGCAGCTTTATCCTTTCTGGTAGGTGCTCACGGATGCTGGGGAGGAGTCCCCGGAGGCGGGTGTCCCGGAATGGGGAGGCCGGTCAAGTCTCGGCCGGGAAAGCAGGCAACGTGGCCGCTGAGAAGGGAAAGCAGAGCCCGGGAGGCGGGTGTCAAGGCTTTATTTCAGTCCTCCGCGCTGTAGACCGTCTCGTCCTTGGTCTCCTTCCCAAATATCCGGGTGATGTCGGGGTTGCGGTTGGCGTCATTACACTTGTTGAGGTTGGTGCAGCAGGTGGTCTCCCGCAGGAGGTCGTGGAACACCTGGAACATGCCCTCCACACACGGCTGGCAGCCCAGGGTGGTGTAGCGGTACAGGTACCTACCTGCGGGGCAGGGAGGGCGGCCACGGCCTCTCTCCGGGACCCCTCTATGCTTCGCGCACGGGAGCCCGGGGTGGCACGGTGTCCCCTCCCGACCTCTCTGGCCTCTCCGGGCAGTGTGCTGCCCCCACCCACAGCCCCCTGCTGGGGTGGTGAGTGGACGACCCCCTGTCCTTGCCCCTGCGGCGAGCCCTGAGTCCTCCACCCGGCTCTGGCCACGGCAGCAGAGTGAGGCTGGGCCGCCCAGGGCGAGGCTGCAGGGGCAGAGGCAAAGTTGCGGAGATAGGGGAGAAGTTGTGTGGCCCAGGTGAGGCTGCAAGAGTGGAGGTTGGGGGAGGCTACGTGGAGGCCAGGGGGAGGCTGGGCAGGGCAGGGATGAGGCCACACAGGCAGGGGCAGGAACAAGGCTGTGTGGGCAGGGGCAAAGCTGCATGGCAGGGGCGAGGTTAAATGGCAGAGGCAGGGCTATGCGCAGGGGCAAGGCTGCATGGCAGGGGCGAGGCTGGACCCAGGGGTGAGGCAGGTTGTAGGGGCAAGGCAGCATGGGCAGGGGTGAGGCGGCATGGGTAGGGGCAAGGCTGCATGGCAGGGGCAAGGCTGTGTGCAGGGTCGAGCTGCATGGGGCGCAGGGTCGAGCTGCATGGCGGGGGCGAGGCTGGGCGCAGGGGCCAGCTGCCTGGCGGGGGCGAGGCTGGGCGCAGGGCCCGGCGGCCTGGGCGGGGGTGAGGCTGGGCGCAGGGCCCGGCGGCCTGGGCGGGGCTGTTGTACCATAGCATGTTCAGCTTCCAGCAGCTCTTCATGCCCCCGCGGCACCGGAAGCCGTCGAAGTGGTCGCAGTGGTAGCAGAAGCGGACCCCTGGCAGAGGACACCACGCAGAGTCGGCACCGCCCCGCTGGGAGCCCCCTCAATGGCCGACAGCCGGGACACCTCAGAGTGGGGACCCCTCCCCGAGTCAGAGGGCAGAAAGGGACACCGGGCAGCGGTCCAGCAGCTCTTCATGCCCCCGCGGCACCGGAAGCCGTCGAAGTGGTCGCAGTGGTAGCAGAAGCGGACCCCTGGCAGAGGACACCACGCAGAGTCGGCACCGCCCCGCTGGGAGCCCCCTCAATGGCCGACAGCCGGGACACCTCAGAGTGGGGACCCCTCCCCGAGTCAGAGGGCAGAAAGGGACACCGGGCAGCGGGGGGTGTGGGGGCAAGCGGCCGACGTGCAGCCCTCGAGCACGCCCGTCCCACGTGGCACCGTACAGCTCCAGGCCTGCACTCTGTCCCCTGCGGAGAGAAGACATTCTCCCTGGCCTCTGAGCGCCGAGAGCCCCCACAGGCTGGGCCCGGCACCCTGTGGCCCGCCCGCCCACCGGCCTACCTGGGTCCAGGAGGAGTGCCGTGAGGGCACCCAGCAGGAGCAGGGGCAGCAGCATCCTTCCGCCGCCAGCATGCCCCAGCCTCATTTATGCCCCCCGGCCGCCCCCGGGCATCCCACGGGAACCACAGGCCGTAAACTCCAGGTCAGGCCGACCAGCCTCCCTGCGGCGTTCCCGGGAGAGGGTACACCCTGTGTCTGAGTCCCTGCAGGCATGTGGAACGGCTGCCAGACACCCCACCCAGCAGGTGCACCGTGGTGGCTCTGCGGGCTCTGCTGGGTGTCCCACTCCACAGCCACCGGACAGCCACTCAGAGGTGGTAGGGGGTGCGGCACCTGCACATGAGCCCCCGGCCCCGCTGGGTGCTGTAACCGCCCCGGGAGGTGCTCAGTGTGCCTTCTGGGAGCTGCGCCCTGCAGAGGAGGTGCCCGGAGCGAGTGCAGCTCCTGACACCGCTCGGCCTCCCGCTCTGAGGGACGGGGCGGCCTGGCAGAGCAGGTGGGTAGGTCAGCAGTCAGCCTCATCCCTGACCCTTGCGGGAGCGAAATACCATGAAGGCCAGTGGGGCTCGCGTTGGCGGCCGGGGCAGAGGGGCCTGTTCGGAGGCTTCTGGAGCCTGTGCAGAGGGGAGGCTGTTCCCTGCCCGGCCCCGCATCCCCCAGGGGCAACCTCTTTCCTGCCACTGCTGCCCTAGCAGGGAGGCATGTCCTGCCCGCCACGTCAGAGGAAGGCAGACTCCCGGCCACCCGGCCCGGTGCCCACCCCGCAGCCTTCTCCAGAGCTGTCGCCGCGTCTCGGCCCTCCAGCGTCTCCATGCCAGGGTGTGTGGAGAAGCAGAGTGGTTCCACGAAGCCCAGGACGGTGTTCCCTGCCTTCTCAGCATGTGGGACCAGGAGGCACAGGCCGGCTACACGGTCTGGCAGTTAAGGCAGTGGGTGCCATGTGGCCGACCACACGGCTCAAGCCCCAGCCTAGCAACTTCAGAAACACGCAGGTGTGGGCATGGGCAGAGCCCGAATCCCTAGGTGGGGAAGATGAGAAGGGGCTGAGGCACGGGCACGCCCTGGGGGCTTCCCGTTCTCGCTGTCTCTCCACCTCTCTCTGTGAGTGCTAGAGCACACCAGACACACACACAGAATCAGATCATCAAAAATATTCGATTATTTTACAGAGATCTTTGCTATAGGGCATGCGCACTTAACAGAGAGACAGGGACAGACACCGGGCGTGAGTTTAAGCCCCCAGGTCTGGGACTTGAACCGCGGTTGAACACATGGGAATCCAGCGACATAACCATTACTCCATCTGCTGGTCCCAGAAATATTTGATAAGGAAAACGGAAGGCGAGAGGGTCTGTGCGTGCTGGGAGGCTGAGGGTGGCTTCGCCCTCGCAGTCCGCTATGGCACAGAGACGGTAGCCGCGGTGACAGGTGTCCTGAGCCCGGGAGAGAGTGAGCGTGGGGCCCTGGACTCCCAGAGCCTTGCCAGGTACTGCGCCAAGCCCCTCGCCAATCCTGGCCTGCGGTGGGGCGGGGGTTCGGTCACGTGGCGGCAAGACGCTCCGGCGCCTGGCTGGGCTGGTGGGGCCTGGGCGCACCCCCACGCACTCTCTCCTGACCCTGTTCATGACGCCGGGCGGCTTCCCACAGCCGTTCCCAGAGTAGAAGGCAACTTGAACCGCGGTTGAACACATGGGAATCCAGCGACATAACCATTACTCCATCTGCTGGTCCCAGAAATATTTGATAAGGAAAACGGAAGGCGAGAGGGTCTGTGCGTGCTGGGAGGCTGAGGGTGGCTTCGCCCTCGCAGTCCGCTATGGCACAGAGACGGTAGCCGCGGTGACAGGTGTCCTGAGCCCGGGAGAGAGTGAGCGTGGGGCCCTGGACTCCCAGAGCCTTGCCAGGTACTGCGCCAAGCCCCTCGCCAATCCTGGCCTGCGGTGGGGCGGGGGTTCGGTCACGTGGCGGCAAGACGCTCCGGCGCCTGGCTGGGCTGGTGGGGCCTGGGCGCACCCCCACGCACTCTCTCCTGACCCTGTTCATGACGCCGGGCGGCTTCCCACAGCCGTTCCCAGAGTAGAAGGCACGGGAGAGCTGAGACCGTATCACATTTATTAAGAAACCCCCTTTCTGTCCCTCACCCTGGAAAAAAAAAAAAAACAGTGCCCTTTCGACACACTCCCGAGCCCCAGGACTTCTGCGTGGACGGCGTGACGGCACCCACATGCCCGTACCCCGACACTGCATACTCAGAGCTCTGGTGTGAGGTTCGTTCCCGAGTCGGTGTTCCTCCCGGAGTGTGAGGCCCAGCGCTGGCCAAGAGACTTGGGGCCAGTCAGCTGGTAAACCCGAGCAGAATCCCAGTTCAGTGCCCAGACCTGCCTTCCAGACTCAGCCGGTGCCTCCCACCCTCCCCTCCCCACCCAGCTGCTCGGCTCCATGTCCCATCCAACCTCCCGCCCCACAGCTGAGCCTCCGCAGCTTCCCATCTGCCCCGAGTCCTCCCCTGGGGCCCAGAGCCTCGCCACGCCTGGCTTCCACCAGGGCTCCTCCTCCTTCTCTGCTCCTTCCGACCAAGGGTGGAGGACGTGCTGTCCTCCCCTGCCCTGTCCTGCCTGCCCCGGAGGACAGCCTGCACCTGGCCCATCCTGCAGCAGGAGGGTAAGGCGGCAGGTGCCTCCGAGCCCCCAAGCAGCAGGTCTGGAGCAACCTTCTTCAGCTGCAGGGTCAGCAGGCCCTCTGCACTGCAGGCCCGTGTGGTGCCTCAGGCTGGGGACGAGGGCCAGCAGCTATGGCTCCCTGTGGGGCTCTGTCCACACTCTCCCGCCTGAGAACCTCCACATGAGGCCTCGTGGGTGACACAGTGACCTGAGGGCCGCATGAATCAGCTCTAAGGCTGTACAAGGAGAAAGAGGGCCTCAGCCAGCAGCAGGGCCTGGCAGGACTAGCCATTCTACACCCCTAGGCCATAGTGAGCCTGGCCCCGCCATCTCTGACCGCGAGGCATGAGCACGGGGCAGGAAGGAGCTAGCAGGAGGCTTGGTGCTGGGGCTGTCAGGAGCGGCAGGCCCCTCACCAGAGGAAGGCCCTAGCAGCTTGTGAGCAGAGTCCACCTGTCCAGGGAGCAGTGGGCCAGCAGACAGGTGGCGCCTGGCTTGGAAGAGATGGGGCCTGGCAGTGGGGGCGGCAGCAGGGCCCCCAGTAAGCTGAGGCCTGGCTGCAGCTGGCATGGGCGCGGCGGGAGGACAGTCTCTCCCAGGGCCTCGCGGCCAATTTCTCCAGGCGGTGACAGCTAGGAAGTTAGTGAGCGCGGGACCTCGGCCACCGGAAGAACTGGAGGCCAGACACACCCAGGGCCGTGTAGATCCCAGAAAGGCCTCGGGTGCGAGCCCGGGGACACCCCGTCCTCTCCCAGCCCAGACTCTGCTTCTCGGGGTGCCCTGGGGTTCTCCATGTGCTTCTGGACACCAGACCCCTCACGTGCCCATTACTGTTCAGAAGGGCTATCAGGAATGGCCCAGGAGCTTCAGGGAGGCCTGGGCAGCCCACCCGAGCAGGCGAGGCCCGACACGAGCGACGACAAATCCGCCCGCTGTGCCCGGAGTTCCAGGGCCCAGGCCCGAGCGCGGTCCCCCAGAAGAGCTCAGCCCGAAGTCCCTGCAGCAGGTGACTGGAAATGGGCTTGGGGACAGGGCTCTCCCAGCCTCTGGCAGAGCCTGGGCCTGCTCTCGGCCTCGCTGCCACCACGGCTCGCCCTCCTGCACCCCTGGCCTTTCAGGCAGGACTCCGCTCAGTGAAGTGCCTCTCCCGGGCCGGGCTGCACCTGTCCTCCATGGGCTGTGGCCGCCCCGGACCGGCCCTGCGGTGCTGAGGCCCTGGGAGACTCGGCCTTGGCTGCCCCGGCCTCCAGGCCCGTGCACCTCCGGAAGCTGTCTTGGGGGGCGCGGGGCTCGTTGAAAGGTGAGCTGCTCTCGGCCCCGCGTCGGCCTGCTGGTTCCCATGCTCCTGGAGTGGGTTCCCACACCTGCACCGTGGGTCCCTCAAAGGGGACGTGGCCCAAGGTGGGACGAGAAGCCGCGGTTTAGGAGCTGTCGCCAGGTCTCTGCGCCCGGTCAGGCAGCAGGCTTGCTTCAGAGACGACGTGGGCGTGTTCCTGTGCCCGAAGATCTGGGTGCAGCCTGGGAGGAGCAGAGGACCTCCAGGGCCCACTCCCGCCCCGCGTGGGGGGCCACGGGCTTGCAGAGGGCACGGGAGTGTGTGCTGCTGCCCCTTCCCACGGCCGACCTGAGCTCCCTGTGCCTCCTGGGAGACTGGGTTTGAGAGTGAGCGTGTGCGTGCTTGTGCCGCGTGACTGCAGTGCGCGTGCACGGGTGCGTGAGCACCGCCGTTCTCGCTGCACCGGAGGCTGGGGGAGGGACCCCTACCCCATGCTGACGGGGCTCTCAGGGGGCAGGTCACACAGCTGTGTGTGACCGGGGCGGGTCACCCGGTGTTCCCTGGGTGCGACCACTCAGTCCCGTCAGGACGAGCCCGGAGGTGGGGGCCTTCGGTCAGACGGCTGTTACTCTCCCAGGCTGTCCTCCTCGCACGTGCAACGCCCACCTGGATGACCCGCGGGGACAGGGGCCATCTGGGCCACGCACATCAGAGGAACGAGGGGTCTTTGAGAACATCTTGGAAAATGCACATTATGAGAAAACCAGGCATGGAGGGAAGAGGCAAAACAAGTCCCTCGACTCCCAAATACTCTTGCAAGAAAGGCCCCCAAAGGGGAATCGCAGGACGTGGGCAGAAGGCCGAGCTGCTCTGGGATTGAGCAGTGGAGCGTAGGAGGTGGACGGCCCTGAGGCAGAGGCTCAGCCAGCAGAGGGAAGAGGGTGGGACCCAGTCAATTCCAAGGGGCAGCAGAGGGAGCAGAAGCGGGTGTCCCACATCAGCAGGGACACTTGACCAGCACAGACACGCCCAGTACCAGGCAGGCCCTGCAGGTTGGACAGACATGCAGAACCCACTCCACGCTGCCTGTCAGAGACACCGCAAATAGAGGCATAAAGGCTAGATGGTGCTGGCTACGGTGTGACTAGACAGAAGCAGCAAACATTTATTAGACATCCAGCGTTCAGAACTTCAGCAGGTGGCGTGGTGGTTAAAGCACTGGATTTCCGTATGGCTGACAACAGTTCAAGTCTCAGGCCTTGAAAATCGCGTTGGGCGTGCATGCGTGTGTGCCCAACATCCCAGGAGGCGAATGGAGAAGGGATTGCAGCATGGCCATCCCTACTGGGGGGTGATTTCTCACTTTCCCTCTCACTGTCTCTGTCTCTCTCCATTGAGGAAACCTAAAAACAACAACAAAAACAAAACAAAACCCTCTGGCCTTGGGACATAAGAAATTACATATACTGGCTGTTAATAGTCCAATTCCAATGCTCAATCAGTGAAAAACTCTGGGGTGAAGTTTAGTTTAACTTCAAAAAGATCCAAGAATGTGCCACATAGCATTTGTGTGGAAGACACAGCTCTGTGAGACGTGGTGGCACACAGTGCTCGAATGCATAACAGAAGTTAAAACAACAAAAAGAAGGGAGACAGGTAAGGAGGATGCCTGGATTCTCTGAACAGCGAAGCTCGTGAGTGAGAGACGGCCAGGGAGCTTCGAGGCCGAGGTCAAGTAAGTGGCCCATCCCGACACGCGGTGAGCGGGAGGGACAGAGTGGCGGGTGGGCAGGACACGCCTCACACCCTCCTGTGTCAGCCTCCCGGGGCAGGGCCTAGGCTCTACTTAGTCGGCCTACAGCAATGCGCAGACTGAGAGGTCCCGCCACCTTTGCTGAACCCCAGGAATGTGCTTGCTTAATTGACATGACACCAAATCAAACATTAAATACCATTAAAAATTACAATAACTCATTTTAAGAATTACTTCCGTGTGTGTATATAAACTACAAAAAAAATAATCTTTTTTTTTTTCTTTTGGAGAGGTTTTTGCTATAGGGCGTGTGTGCTCGCCAGACAGAGAGACATAGAGACAGGAAGTGAGAAATCACCCCCCAGGGGGCATGGCCACGCCGCAATCCCTTCTCCTTTCTCCTCTCGGGATCTTGGGCACGCACGCACACGTGCCCAGCGTGAGTTTAAGCCCTGGGGTCCGGGACTTGAACCGCGGTTGACTGCATGGGAGTTCAGTGACATAGCCATTACGCTAACTGCTGGTCCCAACACACACATAATCTTAATTAGCCAGAGGGTAAGTGTGCACTTCCCAGAGTGAGAGAGAGAGGAGGAAACGCCTCCCCTGGGGCGGGAGGGTCACACTGCAGTCTCCCTCCTTTCAGGATACTGGATCCAACATCTCTCAAGCCACCAAGTTCAGGACTCCAGCGGTAATCACCACGCCAGCGGTAGGCCCAAGAAGCCCTTCCACTTTACCAAAAAGGTCAAAGAAGAGTTTATCTAACTGTCTGCAACCTGACTCACAGTTCAAAGCCTGCTTTGGCAGCAAACAGGTGCGGGTTCAGGACCTCCCAGCCTGTTTCCCTGGAGAGGAGTGTGATGCTACTGCGGCAGCTGGCCCTTTGGAATGCTACGAGGGTTCGGAGACGCCCAGAGCAAGTTCCTGCCCCCTCAATCCCACCAGATCCGAATGGCCAGACATTTCTGGGGGGACATCTGATTGGTAGCACCCTGTTTACCCACGGCTTCTGCCCAGGCCTCGAGGAACCTGCAAAAGGAGAGGAATGCAGAGCAGGTGCTGGGACAGAAGGGGAGGCCAGGGGCCAGCAGGTGCCAAGTGGTTAAGGTGCTGACTCCACTTGGCCGACTGTAGTTCAAGTCCTGGATCCAGCGGTTTCAGTATCATGCCGGGCGCTTGTGTGTGCCCAGGGTGCCGAGGAGGGACTGCAGTGCGGCCATCCCCCTGAGGGGGTGATTTCTCACTTTGCCTCTGTCTTTCTATGTCTCTGTCTGTCTTCAGTGAGCACACGTGCCCTGTGGTCAAGATAACGGGGGAGAGCACCCCGCAGGCAGCCCTTGGGGTGTCTGTGATGAAAGGGCCCAGCACTCCCCAAAGCAAGTGAAGCAGCCGCCCCAAAAGCTGAACGACCGTTTTCACAGCAGCCCACACACTGCCTGAAACCGGGGCCCCTCTCAGGGCCCTCAGGCAGCGACGGTGTTCCCGGTTCTCGGAGCTACGGTTCTCCGGACACCGGGGACAGTCCGAGCAGGCCCTGCGGCTCTGCAGTCAGTGCTCCGCTGCTCCCACTCAGGCCCTGGGCCAGGTGAGGCACCTCTGCCCTGCGGTGTGAGTACAGCCCGACACCCTTCTCTGAGTGGGTCGGGCTTTCTGACACCGCCTACAGCCGGGTGCCAGCCCGTGCCGTTCGGCCAGTGAGAGCACACGCAGGACGCCGGGCCTGCAGGGCTCTGCAGAGGGGCCCAGAGTGCCATCAGCGCACATGCCCGTCACGCTCGTGGCGGTGCTGGGGGAACCGCCTGCTGAGCCGCCAGCCCTGTGGTCAGAGACAGGCGGTACACGGCCCTCGACGGTGATGACCAAGGGCCGCCACGGCTCCTGGGTGCCCTCTACCGCCCATCTCTCACTCGAGAGCCTCCACCCACACTCAGGTCCAGTGTGACAGCGGGCCGCGTCTGCTGCTGCACCTCCCGACTGCTGTGCTGGCCACGTGGCATGACCGTGCCCTTGCCAGTCCTAGGTCCATGTGTGCATTTGGGTCTTAGCTTTCCTTTTTTCTTGTCCACTACAGGCATGCATGCTTGCCAGAGAGAGAGAGGAAAAGTGAGACAGCACCCCTAGGGTGGTGCAATCCCTTCTCCCTGCTCCTTCTCCGCACATGCGTCTGGCGTGTACTCCAAGCCGCTGTGTCCAGGGCTTGAACCGTTCAGTCAGCCACGTGGCATCCAGTCACCTTAACCTCCGTGCCATCTGCTGGCCCATTTCTGTCTTTGTTTTAAACAAAAAAGTTTAAAAAGTAAATGTAAAAATCAGAATAGGAGGGACCAGAAGATGAAATAATGGTTATGTCATGGACTCCTATGTGGTTGGCTGTGGTTCAAGTCCTGGACCCGGAGGCTTGACTCTCATGCCAGGTGTGTGTGCCCATGTGCCCAACATCCCGAGAGGCAAATGGAGGAGGGGGTTGTGGCATGGCCATCCCGCCTTGGGGGTGATTTCTTGCTTTCTGTATTTCTGTCTCTCCAGCAAGGGACACGCTCTATAGCAAAAGTCTCTCTTAAAAAAAAAAAAAAAAGGCAAAAACTGATAGAATAATAAGAAATTAAAAAAAATGTTCAGTGTAACTGTACAATGTTTTATTAGCAAATAATTTAAAATTTAAAATTTATAAGGCAAACAAGTTATAGGGCCCTCAGGTTCATTTGTTCTTGAAGGGGAAGCGTGTCTTTGCCTAAGCTGAGCGGTGGAAGGTGTGCAGCGCACACGGGTACCGCGGCCTTCACATGCACCCCGCTCACTCACTGGCTCCCCAGAGCGACCTCCAGTCCTGCAGTCCATCCCGGGTGGTCCTACAGGCGTGCACCGTTTTTCCCTTCAACACTATATACGTATTTTTTGAAGTTTTCCCCATAGGGCAAGGGAGCTCGCTAGAGAGAGAGGAAGACAGAGAAATCGCCCCTGGGGGCCCCCACCACAACCCCATCTCCTCCACTCTCCTCTTGGGTTTTGGGCATGCGCACGCACACGTGCGTTCAAGCCGCCGGTCAGACCTGGAACCGCGGGGGGCCGAGTGGGCGTCCAGCACCTGCTGGCCCCAGCGTCCTGTCCTGCACTTGCTGTCAGACAGCGCAGACGCGCAGCCCTGCGATGCGCTGTGTGAGCCCGAAGGACATGGCTGTGCAGGTGCGCGGTGGGCGGCACCGCCCGGCCCGGGTGTGTGGGCCGCACCGCCCGGCTCGGGAGCGGAGCGTCCCGTCTGCGCGAGCGCACTCCCCGAGATGACAGCCCGCTCCACGCGAACACCGCGGCAGCGCGCACGACCTCGGCGCCCAGCCCTGCCCACGGGGGCGGGCCAACGGGAAGCGTGCACCAATCGGAAGGCAGAGCTGAAGGACGTTCACTCCAGGACCAATAGGCGGGGAGGGGG